CTATTAGAACTCCCCAGTTAAGCGTGCTTAGGCTGGAGTAGTTCTAGGATGGGTGACCCACTGGGAAGAACAAATCCATGCGGGCGTGACCCAAAGCGGACAATATCGATGATGTGTAAAGGGTCGGGGCATTACAAATGGTATCAGAGCCGACTCTCCGGAGTACCGAGTGTGGGCCCCTGGCGTCTCTCGGTGCATGTGGGTGGGCTTGCGAGCTGGCAGGCTACTGCACGGGGACGTGCAGCCTTATGGGGGGTGGATTGTAAGGCCCCGGTGTCCTACATCGGGAATGGAGGGGGAGTTCCTGGGCTATAAAAGTAAAAACCTGGACCCTTATATAGCATCGATCCCTTTTCCCAAGTGGCGAAATCCCTATTAGAACTCCCCAGTTAAGCGTGCTTAGGCTGGAGTAGTTCTAGGATGGGTGACCCACTGGGAAGAACAAATCCGTGCGGGCGCGACCCAAAGCGGACAATATCGATGACGAGTAAAGGGTCGGGGCGTTACAAACGTTCTATTTGGAAATTAAATAAAAAGGAAATTCAATAGAAAAGGAATTGAATAAAAATAAAAATAGAAGTTCATTCAAGAAAACACAACAACTTAACAATCTATTTGGAAATTAAATAAAAAAGGAAGTTGAATGAAAATGAAATTGAATAAAAATGGATGTTGCATAAAAATAAAAATGGAAGTTGCATAAAATTAAAAATGCTTGTGAAAAACAAAAGTGCTTATGCAAAGAGCAAATGAGATATTGACATGAACAACTGTCACAAGGCTTGTGTTCTTTGAGGTCAAGTCTCTGAATGATTCTGGAGCTTGTAGTTCAGTACATATCATGAGTGCTAGACAATCAATACACCCATGCTGACCTTTGGAAAACTGAAAGGGAGAAATAGACTTGCAGCCATCAGGCTTTAGCAGCAGTATGAGGATCAGCAAATTTAGAAAAGCAAACTTGTTACCTTCATCTCCATCAAATGAAGACCACAACAAGACGGTTTCTATAGTGTTCCTAATTTTGAGCACAACAGGATGTAAAAATGAATCCCTGCCTCTAGCCTGTATACGAGAAGAAACTATCATCATTTAGTTGTTGAATGTTATTCAAGTAATAGCATACAGGACACTTAAATCCCCAGAACAAATAGTAATAAGTCTTTTTTTTTTTTTTGATAAATAATTAGACTTTATTGAAAAAGCATCAAGATGATGCAAAGAACACAAGGAAACCAAAAAAGAGCAAACTAAAAACGCCTAACCAATAACCAAATTGAAGTCAGTCTTGCCAAAAGGCTTATATGCCAACAATATTTCCTTAACTTAATAAATAGAGACTGCACGAACATCTTTCTTTTTTGCATCTTCCATGTAGTTCCTATGTCAAAAATGGTTAATTCCATGAATTTGTTACATTTGAATCATCAATTGTTACGAGACACAAGTTTCCTTTTCTAATTTCCTAGTAAAACAATTTGGTCCTAGTGAACGTATTCTTACAATTTAATCACCAATAGTCACCGCACGAGCATTTCCCATCCTCAAATCGATGAAATCGATTGTTATCCCTCACAATAATTACTCTTCCACTGCACTTTGACATAAATTTTATTGCAGTGTGACAATCTCCACACACACGCAAGTTCTTCATAACTCTAAGTGTCCTTTCAGGTGGAAGAGCAATGAGCCCAAATGCAATGGCCAGTCTTTCACTGCGATACCTAATTGCCTGATTCTTCTCATCACTATCCACTTCTCCCAGCACAAAACTGGTATCTGCAACATAACCAGCTCTCTCCATTTCATCTCCCAATTCCTCCAACTTTCGATAAATTTCTCTAGATTTTGCATGGGACCTATCCCCGGCAGCAAACTTATGAACCCTATTTCCCTCCTCAATCCAACTCAAACCCGTTTCCTTTTTCACCCCTCGGTCCCTCAGCATTTTCCTGGCTTTGGCTGCCTCCTCATATCTTCCAGCAGCAGCATATGCATTAGACAGTAGCACGTGCATTCCCGAGCTCACAGGACCCAACTCAAAGACCCTATCAGCTGCATAAGCTGCTAATTCTGTGTCCCCGTGAATTCGACAACCAGTCAATAAAGCTCCCCATACAGATTCTGTTGGTTTTATGTGCATTTCATTGATAACTGAAACTGCAACCTGCAATTTTCCTGCACGCCCAAGCAGGTCCACCATGGAAGCATAATACTGATCTGTCGGCTCAATCCCATACACCTTCATTAGATGAAAGTAATGTTGTCCCTCTTCAACTAGTCCCGCATGGCTGCAGGCATAGAGCACACACAAGAAAGTGATGAAATTTGGTTTCATCCGAACACTTTCCATCTGCTTGAACAAATCAAACGTTTTGTTTGTGTGTGTATGCTGAGCACAGGCAATAAGCATTGCACGCCACATGCCTAGGTTCTTCACAGGTATCTCATCAAAAGCCTGATAAGCTCCTTCAATAACTCCACACTTGGAGGACATAGAAACGAGAGAACTACCCACAAAGCTCGATGAATCATAGCTCATTTTCAAGC